TTTTTTTTTTTTTGGTACCAGGGATTGAACTCGGGTCCTTGGGCTTGCAAGGCAGGCCACCGAACCACTGAGCTTAATCCCCGGCCCCCCATATACTTCTTTGCAACCTCCTGTGAGCTTATAATTAGTTAAAAATAAAAAAGGGGCTGGGGAATATAGCTCAGTGGCACAGATCCTACCTGACAAGTACAAGGTCCTGAGTTCGATTCCTGATACTGGGAAAAAAAAAAGGAATTTCTTTTCTTAGAGAAAGCATTTTTTAAAATTCTTCATCTAAGGACCGGGATTTAGCTCAGTGGTTCTGCTGCCTGCCTCATTAGCACAAGGACCCGAGTTTGACCTCTGCCCCCCACAAAAAATAAAAAAATAAAATGCTTCATCTGGAACAGGACACCATCATTCTATTCTCTTAGCCTGCTTTCTTTTTGTTCATAGACCATATCTCTAGCAGGCTTTATATAATGTATAATACTATGGCTTATACCTGGATGTCTCCCCAAAGCCTCATGAGCTCACAGGTGGGGCATTTGGGAGGTGACTGGGTCATGGGGGCCGACACTGAGTCCACTGATGATGTGACACTGGGGGTGAAGCCTGCTCAGAGGAGGTTGGTCCCAGGTAGGTGGCCTGGAGGGTCTGTCGTTCTCCCTCTTCCCTTGATCTCCCTCTCTGCTTCCTACCGCTGTGCTGTGTGCTCTTTCTCCTCTGGGATGGCCCTCTGCCATGCTGCCCTGCCTTGAAGCTGAAACATCTACAACTGTGAGTCAGAATAAATCCCTCCTTCTTTAACTAGTGGGTATTCGGTATTCTGTCCCAGTAATGAGGAAAATAACCAGGGCAGTAAGATATAACATATGTTTGTATGCATCTGTCTCCACTAGTTGAGTGTAAACGCAGGAGGGCAGGAACTCAGGATATTCTTTCTCTTGTGAAAACAGCACCTGGTCCACTGTATTTGTTGAGCCAATGCATGGTTTACCTGGCTTCCTATAGGTGTCACTTTCACTTAGATCTTACAGCCGCTGCCAGAACCAAACCTTTATCAAGTTACCCACTCCAAAGCCGGGTACCAACCATAGTATATCTCAGCTATGGGAGGCAGAAGGATTCACAAGTTTGAGGCCAATCTGAGCAATTTAGCATATATAATAATAAAGGTCTGGGGATGTACTGCAGTAGTAGAATTCTCTTTCTTTTGTTTTAGTAGTATAGTTCTTGACTAGCATGTGTGAGGTCCTGAATTCAAGTCAGAGAGAGGAATGGGGGAGGGAGAGAGAGCACATGCAGGGCATAGTGGTGCATGCCTGTAATCCCAGCACATGGGAGGCTGAGGCAGGAGAATTGTCTCGAGTTTGAGTCCAGCCTGGACTACGAAGTGAGTTCAAGATCAGTCTGAACTACACAGTGAAATTCTCTCGAAAAACAAAAACATAACAGAACAAAAAAAGACATCTACCCAGACTCTCACTTCAAAAGAGGTATCAATTTCCTTTTAAATCGCCTTTTTAGCAATTACATTTTTAGTAAATGCAATCCTTTAGTGGGGACTACATTTCATCCCATTTTGTCTATTCCACTGGGGCTCTAATCAGACCGTTTGGGAATCTGTTCTCATTTAATGTCTTCCTGGGATAGTTCAAGCTTCAGCTATGAGAAGGCAGCTTGAATTGGACAGAGTTGCCCCTGTGTTCCTCAAAAAGAACTTGAGTAGGTCAAGGCTTCAGACTAAATTGTTCACATGAAGTGAAGGGATATTGGAAGGCAAATAAATGGTACAGAGAAAGACCATTAAACTTGGCCATCTATCTTACTACAAATAGGATGTATTTCCTTATGTACCTGTGGTTGACAAATTGTTTCTAAAATTTCCACATTCTAGTCACTAGAAACTGTGACTGTGTGGCAAAAAAGACAGATGACTTATCTGACTTCAAAGACAGATGTAATTAACTTTAAGAACCTTGAGATGGAGTAGTGGCCTGGATTATGCACATGGGCCCAATCTAATCATGTGAGTTCTTGAAAGCAGAAAACCTTTCCTGGCCGCAGAGAAGCAGAAAGATGGTACCATGAGAAGAATCTGACCTGCCGTTGCTGACATGGAGAGGGTGGAAGGGGCCACCAACCAAGGAATTCAAGACTGAAAAGGCAGCTAGGGGTGGTGGCACAAACATGTAATCCTAGCATTCAGGGGCTGATAAAGAAGGACTGCTGTGTGCTGGAGGCCAGTCTGAGCTACAAGGCTAGACCCTGCCTCAAAAGGAAAAACAAATCCAAAGAAAGAAAGAACTGAAAAGGCAAGGACTGTTGCCCTGCGACTCGTACCAGAGTTGTAACCTACAGAACTGTAAGGCAGTAAATTTGTTTTACATGATAGGTTGTCACAGCCGCAATAGAAAATGAACATAGTGTTTTACTCCGATTCTAGCTTTTCTATTATCTTTGCTTATAAGCAAGAGAAGCCAATTTGAGCTTCCTTAAGGAAACAAAATAGGCTTTTCAGGCTAGGGATGCAGCTCAAGCAGCACAGCAACTGCCTAACATACCAAGGCCCTGGGTTCAATCTTCAGCATCACAAAAACAGAACAAAACAAAACAAATTAAAACAAAAGAGACAAAGGCAGGCTTTATTGGGCATACAGTTCTCAGGGAACCCAATGCAGAAGGCAGAGGAGTTGCAGAAAGGATGCAGGACCACAGAGGAAAACTGCTTCCAGGACAGTGTCCTTCCTCCGCCCCCTTGCTCTCTACGCCCCACCCCATCTTCACTCTGTTTCCTTCTCTTTCTGTAAACAGAGTGTCATTGCTATTTCATCCGTGGAGTGTACAGGGGCTAAGCTTCAGCTTCCCTTTGCGATTAGAACTTCATTCTCAATTCTAAAGTCCTGGGAGGGGTCTGGCACAACCTGGGCTGTGTCTCTTAGGGGTTGAACGGTATCCTTGCAAAACAGGCCTGTGAAGTCCTAATACCCTACTTCCCCCAACTCGGAATGGGACCTTATTTGGAGTTAGTGTTCAGTTAAGATGAGGACCCTAGAGTGGGGTGGGCAAGAAGGCATATGAGGGTGGAGAATGTGCTGCCAGCAGCCAAAGAGTGCCTAGGGCCACCGGATGCTGGAAGAGGCACAGGCTGATTTTCCCCTCAAAGCTTCGAGGGAACATGGTTTTGCTAACACCTTGATTTCAGACTTCTGGCCTCCAAAGATGTGGGGTAATATGGTTTTGTCTCTCTCTCTCTCTCTCTTTTTTTTTTTTGGTACTGGGGATCAAACTCAGGACCTTGCACTTGCAAGACAGGCACAGTGCTGCTGAACTATATCCCCGGCCCCTGTTTCTGTCATTTTAAGCCACCTCGTTTGGGGCATTTTGTAATAGCAGTGCCCAAGCTTGACCCAGTCAGCTATGTCTAGGGCACCAGGTCTTACAGTACACATGTGGTTCTTGAACTTTTTTTTTTTGTACCAGGGATCAAACTTGAGTCCTTGGGCTTTCGAGGCAGGCAGCAACACCAGAGCTAAATCCCCGCATGTGGCTCTTCACAATTCACCACTGTGCTTAGGGGTGGAAGGGGCCTAGTTTCCAAAGGAAAAAGAATCATTGTGAGTTGCTGCACTACAGCCTCAACTATTTTTATTTTGAGATAAGATCTTGCTAAATTTCCCAGGCTCTAAGAGTGCTGAGATTTCAGGTATGTGCCTCCATGCCTGGTTTCTGATGTTGTTTTTTATGTTTGTTTTACTTTTCTGCAATGCACTGAAGTATATGATGTGAAATACAAATCTGTTACTTATTTTCATACTGTGAGTACTCCATTTATCTAACACCTTTTATTACTTTTACTAGTGATTACCCTCCCCTTTTATTACTGTTTTGTTTTTTGTTTATTAGAAAGTGAGCAGTGATGTTTGGAAATACTTCTGGAATCTGTGATCTTCTCTATTCAACTGGTTGACTCACCAGGTTTCTGGTATGGAGTGAGAAGATTCTAGAAGCATAATTTTCAACCTGAGTTTGATTGATTGATTGATTTTGGGACCGGGGATTGAACTCGGGCCCTTGTGCTTGCGAGGCAGGTAGCAGAATCATTCAGCCAAATCCCTGGCCCCAACCTTAGTTTTAGAATGTGGTTAACCCTTACTTTATTCCTCCTCTAAGTGCTTTATCAATGGCACTTTTTAATATCTAATCACCAAAGACTTTTTTTGGTGTGTACTGGGGCTTTCATTGTAACTCCAGTCCTCTTTAAAATTTTGAGATAGGGTTTTGCTAAGTAACAGGCTGGGCTCAAACTCCTGCCTCAGCCTCCTAAAGTGCTGGGTTATAGGCATGTTCCCTATGCCCAGTTTATCATAAACTTATTTTAGAGGGAATGGGTGTTCCTGATCTTTTGAGTATCAGGCCAGGAGAACTCTTTTGCTGGAAGAAGCTGTGCTGTTTCTCTTCATGAAACTGGTCCCTGGCCCCCCCTTTTTTTTTTTTTTGAAACACATCTGATCTTCAGGATGAAGATGAGTCAGAAAATAACAAAGCCTGCACAATAAACATGCGCTTGGCACACAGTAAGCAATCAGCCCATGTCAGGTAATGATTAGAGATGGCCAAGGAACACATAGCTCACTCACTTCCAAGGGCCCTCACCTGATTTCCAAGACCCCTCACCTCAAGTCAGGCAAGAGACTGGAAAGGGAGTTGTGATAAGCTAAATGATCAAACAAAAAATGCTCATGTCCTAATGTCCAGCACCTATGTATATCTTTTTTTTTTTGTACCAGGGATAGAACTCGGGACCTTGCTCTTGTGAGACAAGTGGCAGCACCACTAAGCTAAATCCCTGGCCTGACCTATGTATGTCTTACCTTACATGGTAAAAGGGATTGTGTAGATTTGGTTAAATTAAGGATCTTAAAACAGGTAAATTATGCTGAATAATCCTGGTGGACCCAACATAATCTGTAACTGCTATAAGTAGGTACTGGAAGTGGGAAGGTCAGAGGAAAAGGAAATGTGACCAGAAACTAGAGGCTGTGTTCTGAAGATGGAGAGCAGGTCCATGCCAAGGAATGCAAAGGGCTCTGGAAACTAGAAAAACAATTCTCCCCTGGAGCCCCAGACAGAACACTGTCCTACTTATACCTTTTTATTTCAGCTCAGTGAGACCTATTTTGGACTTCTGACTTCCAGATAAGGAAGATAAAATTTGTGTTTTAAGGCGTTAATTTGTGTTAGCAGCAATGGACAACCAATACAGACTGTAATCCTGCTTAGGAGGCCGAGGCTAGCATGGGCAACGTGGTGAGACCCTGTCTCAAACAAAACAAAACAGAGGGAATCAGAATTTCTGCAAAATTTGCTCTCTTGGACACAGAACCTGTTTCATTGTCAGGTCTGAGGCCCACTGGAATTAATAGTAGCTTTCTTACTGGCACCCTTTAGGGCTTCCACTGTCTTCAAGCTTTGCCTTCCACATCTGTCCCTTCCCTTCCTGTTCCCCTGATTGATTTCTGTTGTCCACTATTCACCCACTTCGGGGCCTAGATTAATCAGCTGTTCTAAGTACTGAAGTTAAGCTTGCCTATTTGAGACTGGGGTTACTATAAACACAAAAATTCAGGGAGCAACTTCATTTGAAACATCAAATAACGACGAGAAAGCTTTTAAAAATTGTTAATATTTTTTCCCCAAAGAGAAAAATGCTAGAGACTAGGAACCCAGTGGAACTGCAAACTGGAAAACAGGTAGAAATACTGAAGTGCAGTGTAAGGTCTGAGCATTTGCTCCATAAGTTTTAAAGCCTGGGGAATGTGCAGAAATTCCAAAGTCCGGGTCCAGAAAACATACAGACACCCCGATAAAAGTGTAATTTGGCACTTAGGAAATGCAGATGATTTGAGTCCTGGTTCCGGGGACCACTATTCCTGGTCTTCTTTTCCTCCATGACCTCCAAAGGGATTATCTTTCCAGATGAGCTCCTCAAAGCTGCTGGATCAGGAGGGCCTTTTACCCCAACCCCAAGCGGAGGGCACTCACTTCTGGGTCTGTGTCACTAAAAAAAAGGAAAAGTATAAACTGCAAGTCTCCGGCAGTACTTAAGAAAGGCAAGTTAACCAAGAAGGCGCGCTTTTTCACTCTTCTTTCCCAGAATAAAAGGCCCTTACTTTTAATATTATATTCGTGATGATTTTATTTTTTCTTTCCGTTCTGTTACCAGCTAGGAGCTAAACATTGGCCGGGGCCCCGGGCGGCTGCTGGAAAAGCGCCCTCCCAGGAGCAGAAGGCTCGCCTAGGAAACACTGGGGGCGGGAGCGACCTCGTGACTCTTTGTCTCCCAACACGGTAGGGACGCTCTCCAAGCCCCCCACCCTCCGCCGGAGCGAGGGCTTAGTGTGAACCGCCGGAATGCGAGAGGGGCAGCGAGGGGACTTCAGGGACCCTCTCCCGCTTCCACCTCCCCATCCCCTGCCGGAGGGGCGAGGACCACCCACGAAGCGGCGCGGCCCCACCCCCGACGCGCCGTCTCCCTGCCCTCGCACGCTGCCAGGGCGCGCCGAGAGTTTTTCGCGTCTTCCCTAAGGCAGGCTGTGCTGGAATGCTGACCCCCTTCAGATCCAGGATGGCGACCAGCGGGCCAGACTGCCGGGAACAGATAGCTTTCTCCCTCCTCGTGGAAGATGAGGGAGACCTTACCCCAGGCGGAGGTTGCTCCTATCCTGCCTTCCCTACCTCCATCCTAAATTTCTCCGTGGCAGATTAATTTTGATCCACCTTAATTCGGGAAGAAAAAAATTCCCCACGGGTTTTGGGACAAAATTGCACCGTTTATAGATCAGAACTGGACATCTTTCGTTCTAATTTAGGTCCAAAGGGTGATGGTGAGGTAAGATGGGGCGTGTGGGCCTACACAAGTCCTGTGGTTTTTAGAGCCTCCTGGAGGCAGGGCCCACCGTCTGGACCCTTCTGCTTCTCCCCTTCTAGTTGCCAGAATGGAAAATTCATGGAGGCCAGCTTAGCCCAGGTCAACAAGCTTTTTATTGCCACTCTGGCACCTCTAGCCCCAGCAAGAGTCCTGCTTCTTACACTGTAAAACACTTAAGTTTTCGTGCAGGGGAGTCGGGGTGGGGGTGTTTATCATTCTTCTGCTCACTGCCAAGTTAAAGAAGACCCCACTTGCTGATAGAGGAGTTCGAGGACATGTATGGCTCAGTCCCACTTCTGCTGGCCACAGAGTATGGGGATCATTGCTGTAAACTTTCTTCGGTGTGGGGTGGGGATGAATTTGGCTGCTGTTGTACCCCTTGCCCTTGTGCCACGTTACCATGGAAACGAGGGAGGTGCAGGATGTAGCTCAATCTGACTACCTGGGAGGACGGCGGGGCAGGCATTTGGTAAACATATCTCCTTCCACTCCCACCGACACACACAGCTGCCCCCGCCCGACCCCCACACTCCCTACTGCCTGGTCCCACTCCTCTTCTGGAGCTGGTATCCTGCCAAGTGTATATCCGCCCTCTGGGCGGGGCTGTGGTATCTAGTCTCCACAGCTAAGCCTTGCTGGCAGCAGAATCTAAGTATGTTCACCAAGCTCAGTGACAGCCCTAATAGAGCTGTTGGTTGTGTTGCCCTGGTGAAAAAGCAGCAGCTACTAGTACCCCCCTCCCCCAACTCTCGGCAACTGCCATTCCCCGAAAATCTCTGCCCAGACAAAATTTAAAAACGCAAAGCCAAACACTAAGGTTAGAAACAACATAAAATGACTGTAACAATGCTGAGGGCTAGGACGGGGGAGGGGAGGCACATCCTTCTGAGACTCGAGGCCCGGTGCACCCTGCCTTCTTTCTGCCCATTTGGTGGTTGCTTGTCCCAGTGGGCCCAGTGGGGAGCTGCAATCCAAATCTCTTTGGGTGCTGTTCTCAGCACCAGCTGTTGCTGGTCAGTGAGGCTTGCCTTTCGCCGTGGTGAGAAGATGCAGGACGGATTCTCAGTACCATGGGTCAGCCCGGTGTTGCTGGTTGTAGAACTGTAGCTTGATCTGATCTTTGATCTGATTCACGAGGATCTGGGATAGGAGGATTCCCACCAGCTGAGAAGGGCGAGAAGGAATTGGGGGCTCAGCAGTGAGTGATGCCCCTCCTTCCCCTGGCTCGGTCTTCCCAGTCAGGTAAGCACCATCCCTTCCTCTGCCCCTCAGCAATGTCAGTCTCTGAAATCACAGCTAGTCCCCAGGTGCCCTCCCCTAAATAAAGGAGTCTTTGAGAGTTTGGGACTTCCAAGTCACACAGGGTAAGTTACCTGGGGGATGGCCAGCCCCAGTGCCACACCACCAAGTAAGAATAGGTTGCTGTGTATCCAGTTGACCAACTTGTCAATACAGCCATTGGTATAGATGACGTCACTAGCTTCCGAGTATTTAAGAGCCTGCATACCTTGGCCACACATAGTGTTGATCACTGCCTGGGGAAAGATTGAAAAGCCAAATGGGTCTCCCATGCCAATAACAATTGTGAAGAGTATCTGTGAAAGGTGTTGGGCTGGAAATTGCTAAATGGATGCTTGCCTTCTCTTGGGAAGCCTAGATCTAGTTCTTGCTTTAGTTTGTTTCACCTTTTTTTTTTTGAACCAGGGATTGAACTCAGGCCCTTGTGCTTGTGAGGCAGGTGGTGGAACTACTGAGCTAAATCCTGGCCCATTAGTTCTTCTTGCTTTAGATCTGCCTTTCCTGAAACCTCATGCAGGCTGTAGAAGGGAAAGGTTAATGGAGCTATCAGATTGAGGTGAAAAATAACACCTGACACCTGTCCTACAGAACTGTCCCATTTTACACTATAAAATGGGCAAGAAAGTAACCTAGATCACTACCCAGAAAGAAATGAGGAAGGATGTTTGCTCACCTGGTTTGGGGTAGGCAAGCAACAGGAGTAAGGCACAGAGCATCGCTCACGGCTGGGGTTATCGTCTGAGCAGTTGAAGTACATATTCTGGGACCAGTCCTTGTAGGAAATCCCTCCACAGCAGCTGAACTGCAACAGAGCCCATGGCAAAAGGTAAGAATCACCCAACCCTTACCCTAACATAACCTCGAACCTTGAACTCAAGTCTCCCAGTTGCTTTCACCTGAAGAAATTTTTTCTTCTTAATTTCTACTACTTTATGTATCTTGTATAACTTGCCAAAATGTTGGATATTAATTTTGTGTATAAATATATTTTTTTACACATTCAACTGTGTTCCTTGAGAGAAGGGTAGAGAAGGTTCTGGCTTTGTAGTTCTGCACAGCAGAGTCTGATAAAAGGAGGTGTTCAAAAATACTGTCTAGAGCTCAGGGTACAACTCAGTGGGACAACATGAGTGTAGCATGCACAAGACCCCAGGCTCAAGTTCAGCAACACCAAAAAGTAACAACAGTTAATAATGCTGGCTGGAATAATTAAAAGATCAGTGCTTTAAAACCTTATCTCATAATAGAGAAAACACAAGAAGGGACTCTTTAATATTCTGAGTCCACAGTTCCTCCTTGAAAGCAAACAACATCCTAGTCCAGTGTCTGTTGTACCACAGGAAAGGGAACTCAGCATTGGCCTCAAAAGTACGTTTATTTAAAAATTAACTTTTGATTCATAGCGGCACTATTTACAATAGCCAAAAGGTGGAAGCAACCCAAGTGTCCATCAATGGGTGAATGGGAAACAAAATGTGAGACTTACATACCCTGGATTATTACTCAGTCTTTTATTCGCCATTATATACAATTTATCCCAGGAATGTGAGGTTAAATTAATATATGAAAATCAATCAGCTATATACTAAACTATAAGGCCAAAATTACATGATTATCTTAGTAGCCGCATAAAACAAACTGACAATATTCAAACCCTCTCGTGTATTTTCAGCTTGTTATACATTTATTTATAGTTATATTTTTCTGACCAGTTGATCCTCTTGTCATCGTTCAGCATCTATTTTTTAATCTTACTTTACTTTATTAGTACATATTTGCATTTGCAAGATGAAATTTACATTTCATCTTGGAGAGTAAGTGCATGTACATAACACAACTTGTTCGTTTTTCTTTTGTTTTTTGTTTTTGGTATCGGGGATTGAACACAGGTCCTTGTGCTTGCGAGGCAGGCGGCGGCACCACTGAGCTAAATCCCTGGCCCCTTTCCTTTTTTTAATGCTCTTCTCACCCACCCACCTCCCTCCCTTTGTCTTTAAATCCTCTTTCTCTATTTTCATTCTTGTTCTTATTGTTACTCTTAGCTCATATTTATGACGTAAAATGTTTACATTCATCGTGGGTATTTGGTAACTGTACATGATATATCATAAATCTTCTTACTTCCTCTGCCCTTCCCTCAGTCTCCTGGACCCCTTCCTATTGGCAAGAGATCTGTATCCTTGTCCCCTTCTAGCCATCCTTTATTTTGCTTTGTGCTTTGCCTTACGCATATGAGATACCATATGGTATTTAAGCTTGTGTGTCTGATTTATTTCACTCAACGCTATATTTTTCCAGGTGCATCTATTTTCCTACAGATGTCTCAAATTTATCCTTCTGTATAGCCATGCAGTGGTAGATACCGCATTTTCTTAAGTCCACTGCTGGACACACAGGCTGTTTCCAGAGTTTAGCTATTAGGAAGTGTGATGCAATAAACATGAGTACACACGTATCTCTGTAATATCAAGTCTTTAACTCCTTTGGGAAGATGCCTAGAGGGAGAATCGCTGGGTCAAATAGAATTTCTAATTTGAGTTCTTTGACAGATCTCCATACTGATTTCCATAATGGTTGCATTAGTTTACCAACAATGTAGGAGAGTTCCTTTATATACTCAGTCTTAAAAGGAAGGAAATTCTAACACATGCTACAACCTAGATGAAACTGGAAGACATGCCAAGGGAATAAACCAGTCACAGAAGGATGAATACTGTATGGTCCTATTAATTAATATGAGGTACCTAGAGAAGTCGAATTCACAGAAACAGAAAGGAGAGTGATGATTGCCAGGGCAAGAGGGAAATGGGGAGCAGATTTGAAAGAGTACAGAGTTTAACTTGGGGAAGATGAAAAGTTCTGGGGATGGGTTGTGGTGATGGTTGAGCACATGTTAATGTTTTTTTTTTTTTTGTACCGGAGATCAAACTTGGGACCTTGCACTTGCAAGGCAGGCAGTGGAACCACTGAGCTAAATCCCCAGCCCACATGTAAACATTCTTGATACCACAGATCTCTACACCGAGAAATGGTAAATTCTGGGCTGGGGGTGTAATTTTGTAGTACGCTGCTTGCCTGTGATGCCTGAGGCCCTGGGTTCGATCCTTAGCATTATGAAGCAAAACAGTAAATTTCATGTTATGCATATTTGAACACAATTTTTAAAATGTAACTTTTGACTAGATAGAGCCAGGCATGGTGGTGAATGCATGTAAATCCCAGCATTCTGGGAGGGTAAGGCAGGAGGGTCACAAGTCTAAGTCCAGCCTGGGCAACTTAATGAGACCCTGTCTCAAAAAGCGGGGAGGGGTTGGGGAGCTAGCTCAGTGGTAGAACGTCGGTCTACCATGTGTGAGGGCCTGGGTACAATCCTCAGAAACAAAAAAACCGAGAACTGGTTGGTTTCTCATTCTGCTATGGGCAATCACTTATAATGGTTTCTTACAGATCATTCCAGAATTCTTTTGCAAATACGAATGTATATTCTTCTCCCCCTTTTTTTTTTACATAAGTGGTAGATTCCTATATATACTGTTATGTATCCTTAAAGAACTGTTAAAGAACTCTGTGTTTTGCCAAACCTATTACCGGAGTGTACATATTACCTAGCAAGGAATGAAGAGGCCTGTGGGAGAGCCCTAGAGGGTGAGGCATCTCTCGGAAGGACTCTAACTTTTACCCACAGCCCCGGACCCTGCTGACTCCACCACACGTAGTCCTTACCTTCTTCTGGCCAAAATCAATGAGGTTCTGTAGATCCAGGTCATCTCGGTAATGCACAATGGCATTGTTGATGATCTCACTCACTTTCCCCCGAGCCTGCAGAGACACGGGAAGGGAATCAGGACACAGGACTAATTCCTAACTTATTCCTCCCTGCAGAAGTGACCGCAGACAGGATCACTTTTTTTTCTTTTTCTTGCTTGTTGCCACAGCAGAAGTGCGAGTCAGGAGGGGACCCTCCACAGATAGCATGGTGTGGTCGGAGCCCCAGGGTACCCCTTCTCACCTCTATGGCAAACCCCAAGCAGCCTGGCACAGGTTTGGCTTCCTCTGCCACCCCACTCTGGGTGCACACTGATAGCTGCCAACCTTAGAATTGCCAAATGGCTCCAGGCCCTTTCTGATTGCCCCAGTTTCAGTCCTTCCATCATACTCATTCACTGCCTACCTCCTCCCATTCCGACTTCTTTTTTACACACTGGATATTTCCTTAACATCCCGAGGACCTTCATCTACCCCAACACACATTCATTTAGGCCCATACCCTTGAGGGTCCTTCTCAGCTCAGGTAAATGGAGGCCCAGCCCCAAGTCCCCTGCCTTGTACACAAGAGATAAGTAGGAGGAATTGAGATCTGATGGTGCAGCATGACAACTACAACAGCCTTCTACCTCATCTACAGGCACTAGGTAAGAGAGAAAGGATACCCTCTATTCTTATCATCAAAATGGGACGGGGGGAGATTTACAAGTCTGGGACCCTAAGAGATATTAGGACATCTCCCCCAGTGTGTGTGTGTGTGTGTGTGTGTGTGTGTGTGTGTGTGCGTAAAGATCAAAGATGAAGGTTACCCCCCTTTTTTGGTGGTAGTGGAGATTGAACCTAGAGCCTTCACACTAAGCTATATCACAGCCCCATTTTGAGGTACAGTCTCACTAAATCCCTAAACTGTCCAAGCAGGGTTTGAATTTACAGTCTTCCTGCCTCAGCCTCCCGAGGCTGAGATTATAGATGGGCACCACCATGCCCAGTTCAGATCATCCTTCTTTATCTGAATCAGCCTTGAGAAATCAGAACCAAGTTCTAATGAAGATGGCCAGTTCCAAGCCCATCTGTCCTTGGCCCTAAGGTACCAGTGAGCAAGAGAAATGCTGGACCTGCTGTCACTGCTTCTCAGAGATATATTTAAAAATAATCCAGCTGGGGATTTAGCTCAGTGGTTCCGCCACCTGCCTTGCAAGCACAAGGACCAGCGTTTGATCCCCGGTACAAAAAAAAAAATCCAGTGTTTATCTACCTTTTTATACTATTACCACAAAATATTTGTTGACTGATGCAAAATGGAGAAACTAATTTGTTTTTGTTTTGTTTTGTTTTTTAACAGAAAGATAGGGAATTGTAGCACTGCCCTCTGGTGGACATAAGAAAACTGCATCTTTTTAGACATCTGTAACATTTTAGGATTTTAAACTGCATCTTTTTAGACATCTGTAACATTTTAGGATTTTAAACCAGAAGGACTAGAAAATTTTGAATCAATTCAACAGCTCTCAAGTTCATAATTTTCCACCATGTTCTCTTTCTGCTCCACTACTTTTCTCACAATTTCATTCCATAGTCTATTACCTTGTCCCTGGTAATCATTTGCCCTTCAGGACAAGGTGCTTCATTAAAATGACTGTTGCTACATGGCAGTCTACCTCCAGATAGAGTAAGTACTGTTTAAGTCATGTTTTCTTTCTCCCACTTTTCCTTGTTTATCTCAACAATTGCTCAGGAAATAAGAGGCCCTGTGTGTTGTCTGTGGTCCACCTGATCAATGAGTTTTATATAGTCATTTACCATTAAAGTTTGCAGGTTATTTTAACTCCATTTTTAAGAATTTTCTTCCCTGTTGGTCTCTCAGACTGTCAAGAGGAAACACTCTGCAAATGTGAAATTTTCTTTAAATATAGTGACTTTAAAGGCCATTCACTCATCCCGAAGGAGAACCTTCCAAAGGCCGCTATTTCTCAGGGGAAGGAGTGCTGCGGTTAATTAATCGGCTAAACGCCAGCAGGAGCTTTCCCTTCCTCCCTCTGGTTCACTGTGAACAGGTCCCTTGGCTCCCAACATTACCTTGTCTGAGAAGACGAAGCCCAGGACCCCAGCAGCCAGCTGTAGCAGGAACACGATGGTGAGGCAGAGGGAGAACTGTGGCAGCAGCCAGGAAAAGGAGACAGTCTGTTACCATTCTGGGTGACAGCCCCTCCCAGGGCACAGCAGTGCTGAGGAGCAAGCACTAGGCTCATTTACTAGATGCCCCCAACCAGGACACTTCCTGAGAATGGCCGCCATGTTACTGTACTCGGAGTCGGGGCACCTGGGGCTGAGCTCTTCAGTGAGGGGTGGACAGCACAGGCCTCTGGGGTTGGGTGGGACAGAAGAAATGGGAAACCTGGAGGAGTGGCATCAGGAGACCAGCTGGCACCCCAGGGAGGTCTTTGCACTCACAGTCTGTAGAAGGCAGATGTTCTCGCGCAGAGATCCTATGCAGCCGCAGAAGGTGAGCAGGAACATGAGGACGCCCACCACGATGAGCAGGATGGCAGGGTCCAGTGCCAGGCAAGCCAAGGCTGCTTCTGGGGGGAGGGCCCACTCTCGGTCTGTGCCCACTGAGGGGGCTCCCAGGGATGGGCAGGAGGGTGCCCTCAATCTGTGCTTCTCTTGGTGGGAAATCTCCAGTGTGAAAGTTGTGTGGAGGCAGCGCCACCCTCCCCCGGTGAGGACAAAAAGGGCCGGGGAGCAGTTGTGGCATTTCACTTGATGAATAATAAAGGAAGAGCTTTATTCCTGGGCTTATGAGAGGAGGGGCCACTTTGTCCCTGGAAAAGAATCAGGATGGCGTTGGGCTTACCAGCTTTGTGACACTGTTTCTGGGAGCCTTTGTGCAGACCAAGGGGAATGGGGTTGAGTCACTCCAGACAGAGCTAGGGAGGGGTCATTCCCTGAACCACTCTCTGCTCCCAGAGGACTAGCTCCTCTCTGACAGTTCCTAGGCTTCAAAAGCAGGAATATCTTGGGAGACTCATGGAAACTCTGGGAACCCAAGTGAAATGGCGCGAGCAGGCTGGCAAGATGGAGACCACTGAGATCAGGCTACACGGAGCTACTCCCCATAGCTCATGCAGGAAGAGACAGGGCCAGGGCTGGAAGAGACAAAGGGGAATGGCCCTGGCAGCATCTGGGGAGGTGGAAGGAGATGAGAGCTCACCTGCGTGCTTCATCAGCCTGGCATAGACACCTACAGCCACCATCACCATGGAAATCACCTGTGGAAACAGGGAATGAGCCAGACCCGACCTTGAGATTTTTGGAAATCAGAGAGCCCTAACACTGAAACCTTCCAGAAGAACAGGAGGGGCAATTATCCTAGGGCCCAGGGGTGACATCCCAATAGTACTGCTGATAACATCAATCAGGGATGTATCTCCATGAATACCTTTCCCAATACTGGTTCACAACATCCTTGCGATATAATTATCTTGTGAGGCAGATATCATCCCCATTTCACAGATGAGGAACTTAAGGCAATACAAGTTTAATACAGAATAGTGACTTAAAAGGTGGGCTTTCCGGGGGCTGGGCATCTAGCTCAGTGGTACAGTGCATGCACGAGGCCCTGGATTCAATCTTCAACACCAAAATATGCTCCAAAAACCAAAAACAAATGCAAACATGGGCTTCTGAGTGAGTCAGACTTGACTTTTGTGGGACAAATTTCTGAGCCTTTGTTTGTATATCTGGAAATGGGAATTAAGAACAAACAAACAGTTACATTTAATAAGAGTGCTGTGAGAATTAAAGAAAATGTGTGGAATACTTAACACAAGTCCTAACAATAAATATCTGCCATTACTAATAGTTTGTCTAGCATCACATAGGATCTGTGAAGTTGTTATTTTTCTGGTTCTGGGGACTGAACCCAGAACTTTCACTAAGCTACACCCCAACACTTTCTTATTTTTATTTTGAGACAGGGTTTATACTAAGTTGCCCAGGCTTCCCTTGAACTTCTGATCCTCCTGCCTCAGCCTCTGGAGTAGCTGTGATTACAGGCATGCACCATTGCATCCAGCCTGAAGTTTTGAATTCTAAGCCATCTACATGCAAAAGCAGGTCTCACAGCTACAGCAGGTAGATGTGCACTCCCAGCTCTCTAATCCTCTTGGAGGCCAATACAGTGTCGATAAGAAGAAAGTGCACACCAACGTAAGAGTGTGTGTATGAGTGTGTGTGGTTAAGTAGAGGAACTGTTGTGGTAAAGAAAACTCTATCTTTTAAATTCTGATCCCTGTGTGGAGGAATCTTTCAAATTTCAATCCTGCAAATTTCATGGCTCCTCCCTGAGAGAACAAATCTTGTCAAAGACTTCCAGGAGTCCCCAGAGGGGCCTTCTCTGCCCCTTAGGCCCCCAGGAGTGCTGGGCAGTCCCAGTGTGTACTGTAACCCTCTCAGCTACCCTTTCTTTGTGCCCCGTCTCCATGCTGGTGCTAAGCAGCAGCTGGCTGTCGCCATGGTAATAGATGAGGTCAAGCTTTGGCAGGAGAGGCCTCTCAGCACCAGAGACTTGACCATCTCAGCGGGGAAGGAGGTAGCTGGCTAGACCTCGCTGTCCTGCAAGACAGAAAGCAGCTGGAAAGAGCAATCACAGGGGCCTCCATGGGAGAAGGAAATTGGGCACCCTAGAACAGGTGACAGGGTCAGCTATGTTTCCTGTTGAGAGAAAGACATGCTTCCTGTAGGCCTTATTTAAGAGGGTCCTCTGCCACCTGGCTGAGGTTGGCAGGTGCATTCAGTACTAAAGGGCAAATTTCCTTCTTAAAATGACGTCTTCAGCACCCTTCTCTGCGGCATAGCCCTCTCTCCTTGCCATCATCTGGCCCTGCCTCTGGGCACCTGTGTTAGCAGCCAGCTCTCACACTTTCCATCCAGGAGACAGGAAGGAGCACATGGGTGTGGAGGTGCCAGCTGGATTTTTGTCCCATCGCACAACCAGGCTTGGGGACTGTGGGGGAGACAGGGAAATCCCAGAGCAGAGATACCTGTCACACAAGCCTGGAGGCTGCCCTCTGCCACAGCGAATGAACATCTCCATGTACCCATTAAAACTCGCCATACCCAACTGCAGTTCTGCATATCATTTTACTGACTCATTTAAAAATAAAGTATCTCTCTGTGCTTTATTTCTGTGGCTCCAAGGCTCCACACTGTTTGTTCATATTTTAATTTTCACTAGGGTGGATAACTTTATACAGAGATGGTCTCTGATTAAATCCTAGCATGGCTAAAAGAAAAAGGGCACAGTAAAGAGCTGCCACATATCACAGAGCACCTTAATCCTATTTATGGGCCCATAATTATGGCAGTTGCATTGTCTCTATTGGTGGTAGGTAAAATAATGCCTCCCCAAAGACGTCTGTGTCCCAATTCCTAGAACCTGTGACTATATTACCTTACTTGGCCAAAGGGACTTCATAAATGTGATTAAGGATTTAGAGGTGGGGAGATTATCCCTGAAGGTCCAATATAGTTACAAGCAAACATAAGAGAGAGACAAGGGTGTCAGAGGTAGACACGTGATAACAGACACAAGACTGGGGAGATGTGGTGCCATGAATCAAGGAATGTGGGCAGCCCCAAAAGCTGCAGCAAGGACATGATTCTCCCCTAGAGAAAGGCAGAATGAATGAAGCACTGTGGACCCCTTGAATTTAGCCTATCTTGCCCTGTTTTAGACTTTTGACCTCCAGAAATGGAAAAGGTTAAATTTGTGTTGTATTAAGCCATTAAGGTTGGGTAATTTGTTACAGTAGCAATAGCAAATTAATACACTATCCACATCCAATTCATCAACTGCTATGCACAAAGTACTCTGAGGACTTAGAATTTATGTGTTATATGGTGGGGGGGTCACCAAGAGCCTTCACCGCCTACACAGTGGTTCTCAACTTTGGCTGCTGTTAGTCATCTGGGGACTTGGGAGTGCAGGAGAGACTTAAGAAACTCTCACTGTGCAGGTTGTGCTACAAAGCAAGTAAATCAGAACCGCTGGCCTCAGGGCCCAGGCCGCAGTAGTTCTAGATGTGTTCTGTATGATTCCAGGGTGCAGCCACACCTGAAAACCTGTGAGCCTAAGGCACAATCAGCCACGGATTTCAAACAGTTGACAGAGGCTCTATTAAGATCAAGATTAAGACCTTCTATTATTATTAATATTTCATATGATTATTAATGATGCCTCTCCAGAGTGCTCAAAGTCTGCATTTCACTGACGCACCTTGCACACGTCCATTCCCACCCTGCATTCCTCAGACCTACTGCCATCCCACAGTCAGTGCCGCTGCTGCTGCAAAAGCACGGGATTTTAGAGCTGCTTGCAACTTTAGCAATTGGCTCAGACACTCACCTCCTTTTTTGGTACTGAGGGTTGAATCTAGGGGATTCAGCCTAGCCACTGAGCTAAATCCCTGGCCCAGTCCTTTTATGAGAAGGCTGGAGATAAAGACACTTTTCACATGCTGCCAGAATGAAGCCTGACTAGAAACTTTCAAAAGTTAGGTACACTTTTCAAAAGAGCTGCACCTAGTTTTTAGCAAAGTGTATGGTCCTGGAAAACTGTCAGTTAAATAATGCGATTTGGACGCACCAGGGCCTTTATCCTGATGTAATTGAGTTAATCACCTTGTAGTGCAAGTTCCCACCCCTTGGCTCCTTGGAAAAATGGCTGATTCTAGGATTGGGGCAGGAAATATTTAGGAACATCCACGTTATAGTACGTGTCCCTACTTCATTTCTTCTACGGCTGAATAATGTCCCCTGTGTGGATGTGACAGGGAAATCCCAGAGCAGAGTGTATGTATTCCTGCGCTGGTGGTTATTTGGGTTGTCCCTCCCCTTTGGCTACTGACTAGTAGTGCTGCTATGAACACCCCATGCACATGACTTGGTTTGGGTACCTGTTTTGAATTCTATACCTAACAATGGAATTGCTGGGTCATGTAAAAAGTCTATGTTTAATTTTTGGAGGGGCTGCCAAGCTGCCCTCCACAGGGGCTGGATCACTTCACCTTCCCACTAGCAAAGTACCAGACTTCCCGTTTCTTCATATTCACGCTGGCACTTGTGATAACATTTTCCTGACACTGACATTTTTGGTAAGTCTAGATCAGTTGTTTTGCAGAATGCCCCTCAGTTCGGATTCATCTGTTTCCACACCAATGGATTCAGATTATACATCTTTGACAAGAATATTACACAGATACTGTCATGTTCTCAGTGTATCATGTGATGGAGCATAAGATGTTAATTTCTATCATAGAGATAAGGAGCAATTTTACTAACAGATGATGTGGCTTCTAGACGTTATGTCTCCGAACTTCATAAACAATACAGGCTAAAAAATTGTTTTGGAAAATACATTTTCTAAATAAACTGTTTCCTAGTTTTGGACAGTAGTTACTGGTCTTCTCCCTTTGCTAGTACTTGCTGGTAGGTAAGCAGCTGCAGGTAGGTAAGCTTAAGCTCCTGTTTAAGGCAAAAAACAAAAAATAGAGAAAATTCTCTCCATTATCTCAACTTTTTTTCCTTGCAATTGAGAAAAGAGAGTCATGACTTGATGTCTGTGAGGAAAAACACGTATTTTAGTCCCTAGGACACCACTTCAGGGTGCTCAGGCCTGATGCCACAGAAGATAGGCTCCTGAGTCCATTTGCGGAGAGGACCTGGGGAAGGCCAGGACACCCAAGGGGGACTCTGTTCTTAGCATACAAAGGAAACTTCTGTATAAGCCAGAAAATGAAATCTGGGCTTGGTGGTGCACACCTGTAATCCCAGCACTGCAGAGGCAAAGGCAAAAGGATGGGGTGAATTCAAGGCCAGACAACTACACAGCAAGACTCTATCTCAAAAACTAAAACAAAACAGACAGGCGTGGTGGCACACACCTGTAATCTCAGCACTTGGGACGCTGAGGCAGGATGATCTCATGAATTTAAAACCAGCCTGAACTACATCTCCAGACCCTGTCTTAAAAAAGCCAACAAATGATAACAACAAAATACCCTAGGAAACGAGAAGCATCGTTAATTGTCATTTCCCTCTGGGTAATGGTGGGACAATAAACAAAGAAGGTTCAGGTTCAAAGCTGCTCCTTACCTAAACTCAGTCTCTACTTATCACCACTCTTTCCTCCTGTTGGGAGTAGCCCTCATTCTAGTTCTCCAGGTCCTCTCCCGCAGCATGGGGTTTCTAGGTGCTATTTCCAAGGAGC